GGAATAAATAATCACCGCCGCTATCACTTCGCCTTCATCGAGCTTTGCACACTGCGCCACCATGTTCCTGTCTCCGGACCCTTATAAATAACACGCGCCTTATCAGGTAAATCTTCCGGCTCGACTACAAAACCGTCTGCATTTGCAGGATTTTGATACAATCCACGGACACACGACATAGTCGGCCTCCAATATAGGTAAATTGGTTTTTTATCGCCAGGTTTGCTCACGTCCACCTTCAAAAAACCTGTCAGATCTGTCTCTGCCGTCTTCGCCTCTTCATACCTACTGAATTCTGCTAAGGACTTCAGGTTCACTTTGCCGGGATTTTCAAGAGCTTCAATGATGATGTCGATCAGCTCCTTTGTGTCTGCTCTTGAAAGTCCCACTCCACCCGCCGCTGTTTTGCAGAATCTGAAGAGCCGAGAATCGATGTCCACCACGGTTGGGTTAGCGCGCGGGGAAAAGTCATAGCCGGTTGTATCGGCGTTTGGTTGTGCACTATCCGCCTGAGGCAGCGGTCGGCTAGCCAAATCTGCCTCTTGTGCAGCTGCTGACCTTCTCCTCTTTCTACTCTGGTTTTCTAGGGCCTCACCAGCCTCACGAATTCTGGCTGCGTACTCCTCATCTCCACCACCAGCAGCGGCTCGAGACGAAGTCTCCGCTGCATCGCGATACACGTGCTGCCCACGAGCAAGGTGACGTGCCTTCTCAAGTGATGTTTTGAAGGTGACTTTACAACCATCCTGGTCACAAGTGTACAGCCCTTCCTGGTCAGCCATAACAAGGTGGTGTTGGATTCAAGAAATCCTTATAAAATTACAGCGTACACACACTTGTGCACCAGCCAGAGACGACTACCACTCCAACCTAAACTAGTGGTCAAAAATCGGACAAGCGCGCTGCAGTTGAGGTTGGTACGGAATCAGCAGCGTGGCGGTTGTTGATGGCGATGGCTAACCCGTTGGCCAGTTGAAAGCTGAACCTGCAAGCCAAATGGAGTGTGTAAGAGCTCGTAATGGGGCATTAGAACAAGGCCACACTGAGAATAAACACTGATACAAATATACATAGTAAGCCAAACTCCAAACAATGAAAATTTGCTTTTAAAAAAATGACAAACACATCAGAAAGTTAACCAACCCATGCTCGAGCTTACCACAGCGTCGGGAGTTAACGTCGCAGTTGTCGCGCGATGGATCTGATCCAGCGGAGGCGGAATGAAGGCTGCTGCTTGAGGGAGTGGTGATGGCCTTCGTTACGCTGGTTGCGTGGCTAGATAGAAGACCTGCGACGGAAAAAAAAAAGGTTGTGATCACGGTTCACGTTGACCAGAAATCAACTCAACAAAAACAAAAACAAATCAATACAACGCTAAGATGAGATTGATCTGCGCTACAAGAAACGAAGATGGCGGATAACAAATCATCAACAGTAGTAACAACGACGACAAAAACTTACCGCAGTTACTACCTCTTTCTTGCATCAGATCTCTATGTGCTAGCGAAGTAGAAACAACACCAAGTGCTGAGCAGGCACTTGGAGCTTGTGAAGGCGTAGACACGGACAAGGCGAATAGGAAAAACTGGAAACAATGGAACAGACAAACAAAATGGCGGGGGGTCCCCAGAACCCCTGTGACCCTGCTCGGAAGTGGATCAGCTATGGAAATTAAAGGGCGTGTCCGAAATCTGTTTCGGACACTCCCTTGACTTCCGATCTTTCATGTCGGGAAATTTGAACCCTTGGATTTAAAAATCCTACCGTCGTAATTTTCCGACATTCGTCCATGGATGTCCGCGACCCTTTTCGTAGACGCCCTGAATCGCTTCTGTTTAAAACCGAAAACTTGCCTCTCCACCGTCTAAACCCCTACGCGTGGCAACATCAGGGTTAGGCGGCTGCTCACCCTAGGATGTACCCAATCAGCACTCTTGGTGAGTAATATCGATAACATCTGGAACGCCACCTGTCAGATTTCACCATTGGCAGCATCTCCTGAATGCTGTAAAAGTGAATGGGTATAAAATTCGGTATTGTCTTGTTACATACTTCCGCATTGTTAAATGTATAGTTACAGAACAAAATCTTACACTTATTCAGTTCTTTCGAAGGTACAAATTATCCATACTACATTGCACAACAGTAGAAAAACCATTTCAGATAAATATTACATAGAGGATTAACACCTACTGAACAATATATACGTCCGCGTGGGTCGGATATTTAATTTCAAAACCACAACACCTGCAAAATGTAAATATCCAGCAGTGTGACAAATAAAGATTACTATATCGCACCACAAATAAGATCGCTTCTTGTTACAATAGTTGGTAACTGTATTGCGCGATCTATAGTTCGAAGCCACCAAACCTACCAGCCGAGCCTGCGTAGTTGACATCAAACACCCAGAAACACGCGCACCACTTCACACCTCAAGCAACACCCAAACAACACTCCCAGGAATCATGCGAGCAACATTCTCGCATGATTCCCAACCCCCGGAAGACGAGGAAGATACGAACAAAATTCAAGCATCTCGCAATCCGCTCCCGCCTGTTTTGCGATGCGAGTTAACCAACTGTCTCAGGGTAGTTGAGTTAACCCTTGGCGGCTGTCCGCACATGGCCGTAAAATCTCTCTGCTTATGCTATCAGATACTTCTCTCCTCCGTCCCGTCGCGCATTGTCACCGTTGCCTCTGCATGCCCGTGGTGCTCTTCCGTCTCTTCCGTCTCTTGCGTCAGGCAGGCTCATCAAGCATGGCAGGTGCTCATCAAGCATGGCAGGTGCTCATCAAGAATGGCAGGTGCTGATGACAGCAGGTGCCGCTCCGCGGATGGCGCTCCGCGGATGGCGCTCACCGGATGGCGCTCCGCGGATGGCGCTCCGCGGATGGCGCTCCCGAGTCCCGACAGCAGGTGCCGACAGGCAGGTGCTCTCCCATGCTTGTGCTCTCACATGCTTGTGCTTCACCGCGCTGCACCGCGCTGCATATTCATTTACATCGGAATCCGTCTTCTCTCCTTGGGTCATTGGCAGGTCGGAGCATGCAACTAGAGCAGAGGGGGCAGCTGAAGAAGAGGGGACTTGCTTTTGACACTTGTTTTCAACATGAGTGGTATGATCGCACCACTGCCATGCTGACAGGGGATGTGCACTTCAGGTGAGATGTGCGCTTCAGGTGAGATGTGCACTTCAGGTGAGATGTGCGCTTCAGGTGAGATGTGCACTTCAGGTGAGATGTGCACTTCAGGTGAGATGTGCGCTTCAGGTGAGTTGTGCGCTTCAGGTGAGATTTGCGCTTCAGGTGAGATGTGCGCTTCAGGTGAGATGTGCGCTTCAGGTGAGATATGCGCTTCAGGTGAGATGTGCTCTTCAGGTGAGATGTGCGCTTCAGGTGAGATGTGCGCTTCAGGTAAGATGTGCACTTCAGGTAAGATGTGCGCTTCAGGTGAGATGTGCACTTCATGTGAACAGAGCACCATTCTTACAGACTTATGCAGGCAGCACTCACACACGCACCCGCTCAATCTCGCTCTCACCACGTATCCCCGCTCCCAGCACATACACTCAGTACAGATATTTTCCCGGTCTCGCTCCCAGCACATATGCTCCCAGCATCATCTCCCAAGTGTACAGATTTGTCTGTAAGGCACTTTGCTCGCAAGGAGCATAGGCAGGTGCTTCAGCCATTTCAAAAGGCACTTTGCTCGCAAGGAGCATGGGCAGGCGCTGCAGCTATTCTCTTACCAAGGAGGATCTCACGAACCCCATTGCTGCCATGCCAACCATAAGGTGAGGCGGTGTGGTAACCAGGTTACATGGTGGGGTGACCAGGTGATTCTGCCAATGCAGAAGGCATTTCACAGGGTACAGGTGATGCGGTAATGAAGTTACATCAGATGCATCCTCATTTGTGCTGCACTTCACATGGTTCCATCCATCTTCATCCGCCTTATTTTCTCCTATCAACACAACCCTGCCAAGCAGGCCCTCTGCCTGATGTCGCGACGGCGTTGTGGGTCCTGGAGGACCAATTGCAGGCGAGCCCGCTGACAGCTGTCGACGAGACAGTGGTGCTCAACCTGTGCTCCATGTACGAGCTGGCGGCGTCTGATACGCTCAACGCCAAGAGCACGCTCAGCAACTGGCTCACCCGCCTCGCCCCTGACGACTTTGACTTCGTCTGCACTCGGCTGTAGCGGACTTTCAAGGCGTCTCAATTCACAAAGCACGCAGCAACTGGCTCACGCGGCTTGCTCCTGACGACCTTGATTCCGCTCGGCTCTAGGGAAGGGGAGGCGTGCACTCGGCTGTAGCAGATAGGAGGTGTACAGTACAGGGTATGGAATAGGGAAGTGAGGAAGTAGGTGTGTGAACGACTTCACTTCGGCATGCTGTTACCGTGTTGATGGGTAGGGACTTTCGTGAATCTCTGTTGGGTGGTCAGCACTCAGCATTGCCAGAAGTAGCAACACAAGTGGCAATGTCCCATGTTTGAGAGGACATGTTGCCATGTCAGAAGGAATTACCGTAGCCTCTGTTGAGTGTTCCTGATTGTTTTGCATGAAATAATGAACTGAATGTGAAAGGTCCCCCTATTCTGTGATGTTAGAGGTCCTTCATTTCCTGTTTATCTGCAACACTGCAGCATGTGCTTCCCTGGTGTGTGTTACCTACGGTAGTTTCAATCGTCCATGCTGACCTACCAGAGCTACCATGACTATCTAGGCAATTATAATCTAGAATGTAAATCTGAAATCATTCAGACAATAATAGTAGAGTGCGCCACGGTCTTGGGTCTTCTGGGCCCCTCTTGGCAACTAGGGGGGTTAACCACTAGTGTTACACCCACACACCGCGCTGAGGTGGGGACCCTTCGTGTGGGACCGCAGCCCCTAAGCGACACGAGCCGGGCTGCAGCGTCCCACAGCCCAGCTCAGACCAGGTGGCGTAACACCTGGCCCGGCGAAGGCGGGGTGAGGAGGCCGTCAGAGTTCAGGAAGCGTCCCCCCATCCCTCGTCAGAGCACTCACTCACACACAGGGGCGCTTCAGGCGCGGGCCGCGTCCGACCCAACGCCGTCAGCCACCCCTGCCGCACAACACCTATGCCGCAGTCGGGGGCGGTCTTCGGGTCTTGGACCCTGCCAGCTGCAGAGCGACACACACCACAAGACAACCACAACACACGATCAAGTGAAACAGGCACGCGGAACACATGCAAGACGAACATAACACATGCAATGCGAAAAAGCAGGAGCAAGTGAAAAGCACGGAGCAAGACATCGTACCTCCGTCCGTGTCACCCGGCCTGCCGCCCCACTTCCACTGCTGTCCGTCAACCAAGCTGCAGGGGAAGGGGAGTGGGGAGGGGAGGGGAGGGGAGGGGAGGGGAGGGGGGGGGGGGGGGAGGGGAGGGGAGGGGAGGGGGGGGGGGGGGGGACGACCAACACAACACATGCAAGACGAACACAACACATGCAATGCGAAAAAGCAGGAGCAAATACGAAAACAGGAGTAAGTGAAAAGCATGGAGCAAGACATCGTACCTCCGTCCGTGTCGCCCTCCGTGCCGCCGCGCTACCTGCCGCGCTACCAACCACAACACACGATCAAATGAAACAGGCACGAGAATACATGTAACGCAAAAAACAGAAAGAAAGCAAGGCGGAAACGGAAAAGGGAAGAGAGGCTTACCCCGCTGCAGCGATGGAGCAGCACCTCACCTCCGTCCGTGCCGCCCGCCGTGTCGTCTCCACGCTGCCCGCCATGCTGAAGGGAATGGAAGGGGGGGGTTAACCAGAGCGACGCCTCTTGATGCGCGCGCGCTGCCCCATCGCCCTCCTCGTCCCATGCACGACAAATACATGAAATGCGAAAAAACAGAAAGAAAGCAAGGCAGAAACGGACAAGGGAAGAGAGGCTTACCCCGTAGCAGCGATGGAGCAGCACCTCACCTCCGTCCGTGCCGCCCGCCGTGTCGTCTCCACGCTGCCCGCCATGCTGAAGGGAATGGAAGGGGGGGGTTAACCAGAGGGACGCCTCTTGATGCGCGCGCGCTGCCCCATCGCCCTCCTCATCCCACGAGTAGATCTAAAGGGAATGGAAGGGGGGTGGGGGGAGGGGTAGAGAGACAAACAGAAGAAAAGGATCAAGTGAAACATGCATGACAAATACATGAAATGCGAAAAAACAGAAAGAAAGCAAGGCGGAAACGGACAAGGGAAGAGAGGCTTACCCCGTAGCAGCGGTGGAGCAGCACCTCACCTCCGTCCGTGCCGCCCGGCGCGTCGTATACACGCTGCCCGCCATGCTGAAGGGAATGGAAGGGGGGGGTTAACCAGAGGGACGCCTCTTGATGCGCGCGCGCTGCCCCATCGCCCTCCTCGTCCCATGAGTAGATCTAAAGGGAATGGAAGGGGGGTGGGGGGAGGGGTAGAGAGACAAACAGAAGAAAAGGATCAAGTGAAACATGCACGACAAATACATGAAATGCGAAAAAACAGAAAGAAAGCAAGGCGGAAACGGACAAGGGAAGAGAGGCTTACCCCGTAACAGCGATGGAGCAGCACCTCACCTCCGTCCGTGCCGCCCGCCGTGTCGTCTCCACGCTGCCCGCCATGCTGAAGGGAATGGAAGGGGGGGGGTTAACCAGAGGGACGCCTCTTGATGCGCGCACGCTGCCCCATCGCCCTCCTCATCCCACGAGTAGATCTAAAGGGAATGGAAGGGGGATGGGGGGAGGGGTAGAGAGACAAACAGAAGAAAAGGATCAAGTGAAACATGCACGACAAATACATGAAATGCGAAAAAACAGAAAGAAAGCAAGGCGGAAACGGACAAGGGAAGAGAGGCTTACCCCGTAGCAGCGATGTAGCAGCACCTCACCTCCGTCCGTGCTGCCCGGCGTGTCGTATCCACGCTGCCCGCCATGCTGAAGGGAATGGAAGGGGGGGGGTTAACCAGAGGGACGCCCCTTGATGAGCGCGCGCTGCCCCATCGCCCTCATCGCCCCATGTGAAGCCCTGAAGGGAAGGAAGGCGGGGATTAAGCAGAGAAGTCCTCTTGCTGCCCCACCGCGCTGCCCCCTCGCCATCCTCGATCCTCTCGCGTGAAGGCCCGAACTGAAGGGAATGGAAGGGGGAGGAGTGAGGACGGAGTGCGGGTGAGGAGGACGTGAGACAGGCATGGAAGAGGACAGATCCAAGGGCCAAGGTGCTGCTGGAGGTATGTGAGCAGCCTCAAAGACCGAAGGTGGGCCCCGTGCTTCCGGACAAGACCAAGAGAGAGTCGGGGCCCCCCACTCTCAAATGATCAAGCCCATCCACACCCCCTCGGCTCTGTATGACTCTCACTCTCCATTCAGCAGCACCCCTCCTTGTAATCGCCTCAATTCCGCCCATCAGTCTCTCCATCTCGTTCCTCCGCCTCACCCCATGGACGCAGGGGGGGAAGCCAGCACACGTGGGAGGAAGACGCCTCGTCTCAGCGCTGTCTCAGCGGCTTGCCTCCGAGCGCGTGGTCAGCAAGGCGGGTAGGAGGCAGCCACACGCCTGTGACTGCCGGCAGTGCGTCATCCCAACACGCTCGCTCCCCCACAGGCTGTGCGCACGTAGGAGAGAGAAAATGAAGGAGTGAAGAATGCAGCGATACAGAAATCTGACAAAGAATGCAGCGATACGAAAATCTGATAAAGAATGCAGACAATGGAAAACGCAAGATGAAAAAAGAACTGGAAAGCATGCATTCAACGGCAACCGAACACGAGTGGACTCAAACGTCAACGGCAGTAAGCAGCAGGCACTCTTACAACCGAACACGAGTTGACTCAAAAGTCAACGGCAGTAAGCAGCAGGCACTCTTACAACCGAACACGAGTTGACTCAAAAGTCAACGGCAGTAAGCAGCAGGCACTCTTACAACCGAACACGAGTTGACTCAAAAGTCAACGGCAGTAAGCAGCAGGCACTCTTACAACCGAACACGAGTTGACTCAAAAGTCAACGGCAGTAAGCAGCAGGCACTCTTACAACCGAACACGAGTTGACTCAAAAGTCAACGGCAGTAAGCAGCAGGCACTCTTACAACCGAACACGAGTTGACTCAAAAGTCAACGGCAGTAAGCAGCAGGCACTCTTACAACCGAACACGAGTTGACTCAAAAGTCAACGGCACTAAGCAGCAGGCACTCTTACAACCGAACACGCAAGCACACACAAGGCAGTAAGCAGCAGGCACACTTACAACCGAACACGCAAGCACACACAAGGCAGTAAGCAGCAGGCACACTTACAACCGAACACGCAAGCACACACAAGGCAGTAAGCAGCAGGCACACTTACAACCGAACACGCAAGCACACAGAAGGCAGTAAGCAGCAGGCACACTTACAACCGAGCACGCAAGCACACACAAGGCAGTAAGCAGCAGGCACACATACAACCGAGCACGCAAGCACACAGAAGGCAGTAAGCAGCAGGCACACTCACAACCGAACACGCAAGCACACAGAAGGCAGTAAGCAGCAGGCACACTTACAACCGAACACGCAAGCACACACAAGGCAGTAAGCAGCAGGCACACTTACAACCGAACACGCAAGCACACACAAGGCAGTAAGCAGCAGGCACACTTACAACGGAACACGCAAGCACACAGAAGGCAGTAAGCAGCAGGCACACTTACAACCGAACACGCAAGCACACAGAAGGCAGTAAGCAGCAGGCACACTCACGAGTGGCAAGCTCAGGAGGATGCAGTGAGGCAAGCTCAGGAGGATGCAGTGAGGCAAGCTCAGGAGGATGCAGTGAGGCAAGCTCAGGAGGATGCAGTGAGGCAAGCTCAGGAGGATGCAGTGAGGCAAGCTCAGGAGGATGCAGTGAGGCAAGCTCAGGAGGATGCAGTGAGGCAAGCTCAGGAGGATGCAGTGAGGCAGGCTCAGGAGGATGCAGTGAGGCAAGCTCAGGAGGATGCAGTGAGGCAAGCTCAGGAGGAGAAGGCGAGCAATGAAAGAACGAGTGCAAACAAGAGCGTGAAAATATCAACAGAAGGGAGATCTCTTAGCCGTATTCAGGAGGGGTCGAAGCTGCATGCACGCGCGCTCGCCAGCAGCGGCACTTCTCCCTCCTCGCCTCGCCGTTCCTCCACAGGCGAGCAGTGGTCAGCAGGGCAGCAGTGGTGCCTGCCGTGCGTCATCCCCCTGCCGCCATCCCACAGGTGCGGTGCAGCAGCCTCCGCCCCTCCAGCAGTGCGCACAGGTGCACTGCAGCACCCATCCATCCATCCTCCTCCACCCACCCATCGCTCCACTCCACCTCGCCGCCTCCCCGCCTGCTCCTCTGCGCCTTGCCTCCGAGCGCGTGGTCAGCAGGGCGCGTAGGAGGCAGCCACACGCCTGTGACTGCCGGCCGTGCGTCATCCCAACACGCTCGCGTCCACGTCAGCCACACGCCGTCCACGTCAGCCACACGCCGTCCACGTCAGCCACACGCCCACACGTCTCCCCTCCCTTTGCATGCGCTTGCGTTGAGTGCGCTGCATGGAACAGCAAGCACGGTGGTGAGTCGAGGACCCGTGAACAAGCAAGGGAGCGAACGGAGGCGAAGAAAGAAGAGACAGCAGCAACAAGGAAAGACGGGAACACGACGAGCGACGTACCGTGAGTGTGGGGCAATGGAGGTGCTGCAGTCTGCAGCAAGGCGGAGTCTCGTTAGTCCCGAAGGTGGCGCGTTGAAGGCGCTGCAGCAACGCACGAGCGCGTACCCACGCCCGTGCACACACCGTGCTGCAAGCATGCACTCACCAGTCGAGCTCGCCCCTGCCGTTGCCGCGTGTGCCTCACACACTCGGGCCTCTGCCCGCTTGCCTCAGGGCACTGCCCCTAGCTAGCCAATGTCCAATCCAATGTCCAAACCAATGTCCAAACCAATGTCCAATCCAAGCCTCAATGTCCAATCCAAGCCTCAATGTCCAATCCAAGCCTCAATGTCCAATGTCTGCTGCTGCTGCTGCTGCTGCTGGTGGGAGGTGCATGCAGGGACAGCGGTGGTCAGCAGGGCACGCCCAGGCCGTGCGTCATCCCACCGCCCCGTAGCTACCTCTGCCTCCTCGCCTCAAGTGTGCGGGAGACCTGCACAAGTCACAGAGCAGAGCATTAGTCCCTTGCTACTTAAATCTGAAAAAAACCAGGAAAAAAAGGGAGCTAAGATTTCAACGCACCAGGGCGGAACGTGTGGTGGAGGGCAACTTACAAGGTGAATGGCAGAGGAGCCCGTCCTCACACATAAGCTGGGCGGGTAGGGAATTCACATAAGCTGGGTCGCAGGTGGGAGGAGGAGGCAGGTTCGCCCACGCCTCGCCTCCTCGCCAGCAGCCCCTTGCCTCCTTGTCGCCTCCTCGCCTCCTCAGCTGAGCAAGTCAGCACCTTCACCTCCTCGCGTCATCGCGTCGCATCCTCACCAACAGCGTTGCCTCCTGGCCTTGCTGCTGCTGGTGTGGGGAGGAGGGCAGGCAGGCCTACTCTGTCTTGCTGCTTGCCGTGTGCTCTGAAAAGGGTGGAAAGAGATGGGGGAGAGGAACAAAGGAACCAAGGAAAGAATAAAACAACGGACGGTGGCAACGTATTGGAGGTGCTAAAAAAAACCAGAGTCAATCTCCAATACTGAAGGTGCCAAAAAACAGATTCAGCTTCCAATACTGAAGGTGCTAAAAGAAAACAGATTCAGCTTCCAATATTGAAGGTGCTGAAAAACAGATTCAGCTTACGTAGGGAACGAAACGAAGGGAAGGCGACTCACAAGTTCCTCCGGTGCGGCAGCAGTGGCGCCATTCCTCCTGGCGTCAGTCGTTCGGCAGCAGCCGATGGCAAGCAGTCGATCGGCAGGAGTCGTTCGGCAGCAGCCGTTGGGCAGGAGTCGTTCGGCGGCAGGCGTTGAGCAGCAGTGTTCAGGAGCAGCGGTCCAGTGATCTCTGTAGTGAAAGAAAGAACGAAAAAACAAAACAAAATCATTAGCACAAACGGAAATATGAAAGACGGACGATCAGCAACGGAAGCCAGAACAGCAAATCAGGAAACGATAGCGCGAAAGAAACGGATGAAGGCAAGTAATAGGATTCAGGTAACCCACCGTTGGCCGCGGCGTTGTATGACACTCCCACCACGACTAGGAGAGAAGGCACCTCGACGAGGAAAGAAGGCACCTCGACGAGGAGAGATGGCACCTCGAGTAAGAGCGCGCTGCGCTCCGAATTGATCGTTGCAGTGAAAGAAAGAAAGAAAAGAACAGATTATGAGCACAGACGGAAAAATGAAGCGACCAATGGGCGATTAGCAAGCCAATGAACACAATGGAAGCCAGAAGAGCAAATCCAAGCGAAACAAAACGGAATACGGCAAGCATTGAGATTCAGATAACCCACCGTTGGCCGCGGCGGCGAAAGCCATCCCACCAGAGCCGTCGCTGCCCCCCCCTCGCTGCCTCCCCCTCGCTGCCTCCCGCTCGCTGCCTCCCCCTCGCTGCCTCGCCCGTCGTTGCTCCCGTCGCTGCTGCTCCCCACGTATGGCGTGTGCCGGCCTGTAGGCGTGCAAGCGAGGATGTGGGCTGGAGGAGAGGGCGGGCAAATGATTAGTAAGAGATATGGAAAACTGACAAGCATACATGCAAGCAACGAAAAATGCAAGACAATTAAAACTGGAAAGCGGCAGGTGAAGGTGGTGTGAGTGGCAGTGACAGTGCAGTGGAGTGAGTGACAGTGCCAGCGGCAGCAGTGTCAGCGGCAGCGGCAGCGGCAGCGGCAGCGCAGGCGGGGTGGTGGGTGGCAGCTGCAGGGCGGGCACCAAAGGACCGTACCGTACCTGAGCACACCTACTTACGCATGATGCCGCCGTTACCTGAACACACCTGGGGAATGGTCCAATGGTGCCGCCGGTGCGAGCTGGAGGAGGAGGAACGAGTGGCGCGAGGAGGAGGAGGAGGCGGCTATGAGGGCGGAAGCGAGCAGTGAGCGAACAAGTGCGAACAAGTGCGTGAAAAAAGCAAGAGTAACGAGATTTCTTAGCCATATTCGGCAGGCAGGGGTCGAGGCAGCGGCGCCCGCCTCTGTCCTCCTCGCCTCAGCTGTCGCTCCGTCCGCTCCCTGAGTGGCGAGCAGTGGTCAGCAGGGCAGCAGCAGTTCTGCCTGCCGTGCGTCATCCCACTGCCGCCATCCCACTGCTGCCGTCTGCTGGCTCTGCACGAGGAGCAACCGGGAAGATTGGGAGAGAGAGAGCAGAATCAGCCTCAGAGCGGCAGAGGGAGAGAAAGAGCACAAGCAAAGAACAACAGACAAGTGTGAAAGTTTAGCACAGCAGAGCGACAAGTGAACGGCTGGGGAGGGGTGGGAGGGGGAAGGCGCATGGCGACAGTGGCCCAAGGGCACGATAGCAGCGAGCTAAGGCAGCAAGGGACGAGAGGGACGCGCGCATGGCATGAATGCACTGCTAAGCTATGCTACACCCACTGGACCCTCTCTCTGCTCTGGACTCTACATGAGCTCGCCTGCCAAAGTGCACCCTGAACCACCGCCACCATGCGCCTTACAAGTCAACGTTGAGTTTGGCACGAAAAGAAACGATAGATGCAGAGGGGTGAAACGACAAAGGGGCGTGGGGGGGAGGCGCGAGTGCAAGGGGTTGAGGAGGGAACTTAGCGAGGTTCAGTGGCCGCTCGTTGCTTTTCGGTTGTCGAGGCAGCGGTGCCCGTTCCTCCTCGCCTCAGCCATCGCTCCGTCCGCCTGTGTCCTCCTCGCCGCTACCGCAGTTGGCCGCTCGCCAGCTCCCAGTCGTTCAGCAGCAGTCGTTCAGCAGCAGTCGCTTCCTCCGGCTCAGGCTCAGGTGCAGTAGGAGCAGCAGGCCTTGGACCTGCACAGGTCAAACTGGATAGCATTAGTACCTGAACATTCACTGAATGCCAACAAATCAGTACAAAATGAAGAAACATCACTCAAGATTTCAACATGCAAAGTGATGAAACATTGCCTCAACTTACAATGGAGGAATGCCTTGTAAAAGAATTCACGAGCTTCGTAAGGACACCGCCCTTTCATCAGCTGCGCCTCCTCGCCAGCAGCGTCCGTTTTGCACACCATCGCGCGCAGCAATTCGCCATCCCCAACGCCATCCTTTAACAGAGTTTGCTCCTCGCCGCTACCGCGGTTGAAACTATTGCTGCTTTCCACAAGGTGCAGTGGAGAGCGGCCAAGTGCAGCAGCAGACCTTGGGAGGCCTGCACAAGTCAGATTACAGCATCAGTGCCTGAACATTCAGATTCGTAGAGGGATAAAAGGAAATAAAGAAAAAATTACTGAATAATGCATGATGCAAATTGCTTAAAATCGCTTCAACTCACCTTGGCAGGATTAATCGCCGCTTCCTCGGAAGTAGCAGCATGCGTTCCTCTCCTGGAGCAGCAGTCAATCCTCAGGTGCAGCATCGCCTCCAGATCCAAGGAAGCACCTCTGACTCCTCGCGTTGTCCCCTCCAGAGTCAAATGAAGACCCCGCAAGAAAAGGAGGAAACGTCAGCAGCACACAGCAGGGAGCGGCCAAGTGCAACAGCAGGCCTTGGACCTGCGCAAGTCAAACCGGACAGCATCAGTGCCTGAACATTCACTATATGTTAAAAAAATAAAAGAAACTGAAAAAACATCACTCAAGATTTCAATATGTAAAGTGATAAAACGTTGCCTCAACGTACCATAGGAACTTCACGCGCTTCGTATGGACACCGTCCGTTTATCAGCTGCGCCTCCTCGCCATCAGCAAGTCGCCGTCCCGCACATGGTCGCGCGCAGCAAGTCGCCGTCCCGCACATGGTCGCGCGCAGCAAGTCGCCGTCCCGCACACGGTCGCGCGCAGCAAGTCGCCGTCCCGCACACGGTCGCGCGCAGCAAGTCGCCGTCCCGCACACGGTCGCGCGCAGCAAGTCGCCGTCCCGCACACGGTCGCACGCAGCAAGTCGCCGTCCCGCACATGCTCGCACGCAGAAAGTCGCCGTCGCGCACACGGTCGCACGCAGCAGTCGCTGTCGCGCACACGGTCGCACGCAGAAAGTCGCCGTCGCGCACACGGTCGCACGCAGCAAGTCGCTGTCGCGCACACGGTCACACGCAGAAAGTCGCCGTCGCGCACACGGTCGCACGCAGCAAGTCGCCGTCCCGCACACGGTTGCGTCGCATTTACGCTCTCTGATTCCGCTCGTCGCTTCTCCGAGCTCGATGTTCGTCGGTAATCGCCTTTCGCCTCCTCGTCAGCAAAGTCGCGTTTCGTTAGCAGCTCGTCGCTGTTAACGTCGCTGCTAACAGTTCGTCGCTCGCCAGCTTCATCAAAAGACAGATCCGTGAAATCTCCATGAAATGAGTTGTCAATGATGCCACGAAATATACGGCCGGAAAACCATAGCTGAGGCTCCAAGAAGACGAGCATCAGGATGTGTCGATGATGAAGCCATAGGAATGAAGCCGTAGGGAGCATTTCTTCACGAGATTCACTTGTCCGTCATCGCTTTCCCGTCGTCGCTTGTCCGTCGCCGCTCGGTTGAAGCAGAAACACCCCGCGCGACACCCGAGCTGCTGATGATGCCACGAAGGTAGCTGCCGTCGCTGATTTTGACAACATCTCTGACTGAAATAAGCCGTCCATTGCTAACCCTAACAGTTCGCAGAAAGATGTTGACAATTAAGGCTGAAATAGTGGCGTAAGATCCGTAGGGATCACAGACGCTATTGAGATGCTGCTGCGATATCAGCCTCCAGGGTGAATCTAACCTTCGAGCTGTTCAGGCTGGATAACAGCGTAGCGAGCTTCCAGGACATGTCGAACTAAACCACCGTGAAAAAACACTATCAGTGTCGTTCTGTAACGAACGAATTTACTCCACGTAGACGGGAGCCATAGCGAAAGTACATAGATCATGGAATCCATGGCGGCCTGGAGCAGGAAGTTGGCATGATGAGAATGCGGGAGAAAGCATAGTGGAAGGGCCTTGGGAATGTGGGATAGTCACTCGGTCAGGAGAGGTGCCTGATCCTGGATGGATGTGGATGGAGGTGGTGCTGCTGACTCGAGGGTGACCAGGGTCAACCCGAAGTGCTGACTCTCCTTGGTTGGGTGGGGGAGTGCTGCTGACGTTCCGCCACCAGCGCCAAACCAAAGTGGTGTCAGTGGTTGGGGAAGGATTGCGCCAGGCGGCGCGCGGGTGGCAGAAAGTGGCGGGGGGGGAAGGAGGGCTAGTGGGTCAAACTGTTATCTATGGGCAGAAAGAGATGTCTCCGGATTTAGTGCTTGGAGTCTAAGCGCTGGGTTCTGCCAAACACGGGTGAAAAACGGCAGTAACATGGCTGACCTCCCACTTCGCACCGCTTTACGTCGGCTATTCTTTTTTTCCCTGGAATGCGTGCAAAACATTTCGCTCAAGGCCACATTTGACATCAGCGGAGCGCGGAGTGCAGTGACGGGCCCGCGCGCCAGATGAATCTGCGCGCCAAGTCTCAGTGCGGGAACTGGCGCAGTAACTCTGTGCACTGACTTCAAGATCGCCCGGAGTTTTGCCTGCTGATGTTGATTGGACGGATCACATGCTGTGGTCCCACCCTCATCACTTTATCATGGACTGTAGAAAACACCAATTAGACAGAAACTATCACGAATACAAAAATATGAATCATTCTGTTTGCAACTATTGGAGGCGGAGAGGGACGAGGACCGCTCCCACACGTCTTTTTAACGAAGGAAACCGTGTCATATGAACTTTGAACAAGGTGCGACAGGGGTCTTCGTTAGAGATCTTTTCTTTATCGTATACAGCACCTCGCTTAGGTAAAGGATGTGGACGTGTATAACGCCTTTTCGTAATGTCTTTCACAGTTCTAATACAGCTTGTTTCCTACGATAGATGGTAGAAGGAAAGTCTTCCCAAGCCCCTGATAGATCACTCATTTCCAGCTAGGATGGGAAAAGACTCCGCCACATGGTCGCATTTTCTCCTTGCCGTCTTTTCTTCCCAGCTGTGGTCGGCGATGGCGTTGAATAGGCAGTCGCGAGATGAAGAAAACGAAGCCGCAAGTATGGCTGATACTAGTATTTTCCATCATGCGACTGGCTCTAGAAGAATGCGCCAGATATTACCAGTAATACCACTTAGAAAGGGGAAACTTTGAAACTCCAGTAGGATAACGTAACATGGAGGGATCAGCTCAAAATCGCTGTGAGATTGCTGTATCCGACCCAATGAGAGTCAATCCTTCCAGATCCTAAACGCACAGAAGAGGCAGCACAAACGGCAACCCACAGTGAGCGGGTGAACTAAACTAGCTATAGGGTAAAGAATGCACATAGTCTCGCAAGAAGTCCACGAAGCGAGCCTTGGTGAAGACCATTAGCCGTCCGAGATTCTTACTCAACCGCCCTCGACTGAGCGTTACGAATTATTTGGAAAAGAGCTGCACAGTTCAAGAAGAAACAAAAATCAGAGTCTTGATTCCATTGTTGAGTCAAGTTCAATTCATTTTTCGTGTTCGTTAGCAACTAAACACTTACACGAGCCGATGACAACGAAGATGAAGAAGCCGAGAACCCAGACGCTGACCGGAAACTTCTCACTCCGTTTTGTGACACTATCA